GCGGCGCAGGCTCGCGCGCGGCCCGGGCGCTGACTTTCAGACCTGGCGCCCCGGGAGGGAGGCCTCTCCGGGACTTGCCCTTGGGGCCGGTTCACTAGATCTCCTCCCTAAAAGCCAGATTCTGAGAGCAAGTCCGTTAGGACGCGAAAAGGAAACCCCGAGTCACTCAGGATTCCACCCCCTGGCATCTTGGGAGTTTCCTCTGCGACGCGGAAGGTCCGCAGTCCAGCGGTTGGCGGCCGGGCCGGGAGGGGCTGAGCGGCTGTGGGTCAAGTTTGGGATCCGGGACTTTCCCTGAATCGGTCGCCGTCCGAGGCCCGCAGCGCTCAGTTCCCGCCGGTCCTGTCCCGTCCGCTTTAGGGGCAAATTTCCAGGAGGGGCCACTTGCTGAGTTAACTGAGTCAAGGCACTGGAAGGACTCTCAGTCTGGGTGGGAGACCACCAGCGGGGTCGAGCGGCCCAGTTTTAGGGCGCTACCCACCCCTCCCAGCTGAGGCGCCCGTCTGTGATGCAGAAGGCTTTTCTTCCAATGGGGATGTGGCTTTTCCTTGATTTCTCGTGCCAGGGGAGTTTCCTGGGTCAGGAGAATCTGCTGGGTGGAAAACTGGTCAGGTTCACGACCGGATGAGGGGGGAGGACCCCATGGGGAGATCCGGGGTCTGGGGCAACAGTTGGATTCTGATGACCAAGTTGTGAAAGGAGCTGCCTACCCTCATCTTCTTTTCCGAGGCCAGTCTATTCCATTTTGAGTCTTTCGTTCTGCTCAACTAGAAGGAAAAAAAATATTAGAAGACATTCATCCATACACTTATTCTTTCAACAAATTTTTATTGAGTGTCTAGTATGTGCTGGGTATGGGAGATCCCACAGCAAAGGAGAAAGGATATAGAAAGGAAACTCTGGGAAAAGGTGGTTATCTTACTATAAAAATTTTAATGCTTACTCCATAAACGTTTTTCTTCCTCCAAAAATCTCTAATTGGAAAGTCTCAATTCTTCCTTACTCCACTATTGCTCAGTGAGTGTCTTCCAACTCCAGAGTTTCTAGCTTTGGGTAATTGCGGACCATCTGAGCTAGTTTGGGCTGTTTTATGGGCAGCTCCCGGCAGCCCCGTCTCCCTCCCAACCCAGTCAGGAAGAAACGAGAACAATCGGACATGTTTGTTTTGGTTTTGACCAACTATTAGAAAAACAAACTTCGCCAAATGCAAAGTTCAATTCTGCCAGTGGCCTCAGCCGAGGGGAATTGAGAGAGGCCTCCTCGCCTGAGCAGCTGGGTGAGGTGTGGGGCGATGGAGTAACCAGATAGCTACTCCATTATCCCAGGGCCCCCTGATAGATTCACTCAGAAAGAAACAACAACTCCAAGATGAACTTGTATGTAACACTCAGATTAAAGTCAGAACACCTTGATTTGGTTGGCTAATTGAAGGGCGGGTTTTTAAAAAATTCTTCTTTATACTTTTAAATGTCTTTGTTTGGAGAGATTGTCTTCTTAAAAGGAAAGAAAACAAAACCCAAATCTGGCCCATTGTCTGATGAATTGTATCTGTCATTTTAAGTGATACTCACACGCCCCATCCAGCTGTAGTTAAGGCTGACATTTTTATTTTTTAAGCCCAATCAAATCCTCCTCATTTTATGCTGTTTAAGTAGAGGCATCAATTTTTAAAGGCTCTAGTTTAGTCTGCATTAGTAACACAATATAAAAATTTAATGTACTGTAACCTCTCTGCATTGGAGGCCTGGAAAGACGCACTATTTTCTCCCCAAACTGGGGTTTAAAACAAATATTAATTATGGGTAAATAAATGATCCATTGAATGGATACTATGTAGTGTGTGTGTGTGTGTGTGTGTGTGTGTGTGTGTGTGTGTGCGCTCGCGCGCGCGCGCGCACGCCCTTTGGAAGATGAGCTGGGGTGATGGCAAATATTGGATGCATCTAAAAGGGAATTCCTCATTTAATCTGTTAGTCAGAGTGGGTGACTCTCCGGTAAGGGAAAAAAGTTCCTTTTCCCACATATGAAGAGTCAGTTATCAAAGTCAATGACTCTAGGATGATTCAGATGAGCCCTGTGTCTCACTGGCTATTGCACACGCTTAGTTTCATGTGCAGAGTGTTCTTGGACGTACCTGGGAATTTCCCTGTGCTCTGCAATCTCTAGCAAAAAAAAAAAAAAAAGCCCATAAACTGGTGTTTAGCTTTTAGGGGAGGAACAAAACAAATCTCTCCTAGGTATAACTTCTTTCTCCCTTCCCCAATTGTCTCCACTCCCCTCTTCCCTGCTTTAGTTCATTCTGCCAATTATTAGCAAGGAGAAATCTAGTTGTTATGTCGCTTGCCAGCCACCCCTGTGCCCTCAATGCTCAGAGGGTTAAAAGATATTATAATTTGAACAGAAGTCGTCTCAAGGCCTACAGCTGGCTAATAACAGAGTTGTATTGAGCGCGAGCAAACCCCACAGCTGTGACTTTTCGCCACAAGGCGCAGGCTAGACAGAGCCCTAATCAGATGGGCCAGCCGGGCAGTGGGGCCAGTGTCTTTATCGGCCAGATGGTGTGAATTTAGACACTTTTGTTATGCAATCGCAGGGAGGAGTTGGGGAGAAGAAAACAAAACAAAAGCCACCATGCTGTGCGCTTATTTGAGTTTGAAATTAGAGACAGATTTTTGAAAGTTGAGGGTTGAATTTTAAAAACGATTTTGGAGGGGAAAGGGCACACTGGCTTGTCTGGAGCAGGAGTTTGGTGACTGGACATCCTGTGTCCATAGCTGGTTTTTTTTTCTTCTTCACTTATCCCCTCCCCTTGATCCCTTTCTGAAAAATCCAGGTAAGATCCAGATTGGGGTAAAATCTCTCACATTCCTCCCCTCCCATCCCCAACTAGTTTTAATTCATCTTATTCCGTCTCTAAAGATCTCCTCGAGGAGGCAGGGAGGGTGGGAGAGGCCTATAAGCAAATCAAGAGTCTTTTAGGTAAAAAGTTTTCCAAATAAGGACCAGAATAAAAGAAACCAAACCAAGCCAAATGAGGGGCAGAGGAAAAGCTTTCATTTTCATTCGTTGGGAAAAAAAAAAAAAGAGCACGTTGAGCCCCTCCGTGGTGGTTAGGAACACACACAACCTTAACCTAGTGTCAAGTTCAGTTTCCTCCTCTTTGTTTGTTTCCCATCTTTTCCTATTTTTTTTCTTTTCAGTCTTGTTCTGTTTTTAAAAATACTTATCAGGAACTTCAGACTTGGAGATTGGCTTGTTGGAAATGAATCCTAAAAATTAGCCTTTTAATTAAAATAGCTGAACCTAAAGTCGATCCCATCGGCTTCATCTATACAGCAAAGGGAAGGGAGACTTGAGTTTGTTATCTGAGTAATTCAGGGACCGGGGGCCTTGATGTCAACCCACATCCCTGATCCCAGAGTGACTGTTTGGGGAATGTAGACTCATGAATGTCTTCCACTCTCCACTTCCCTTTGCTTATTTTATGATTGCTGGCACGAGGACTGAATGTCATTTAAGAAACCAAAACAAGAATAACTAGGACATCTTGATGAGACCTTTTCTTTTTATAAAAGAAAGAAAGAAAAAAAAAGAATTAGCTTTGACTAACCCAGAGAAATTTTATGAAGGGCTCAGATGGGGTGAATATAGTTCACTTGTATAATTTTTATACCTTCCAACAGCTGCGTGAGTGTCTGCTACATCTTTCCTGTGGTATTAACTCAGAGATTATACTTAAATATGTTACTGTTGGAAGATGGAAGATTGGGTCCTAAAGTTTCTCTGCATTTTTCTTTGAATATCATTTCCTTCCCCGAGTCGATTCCCCACACTTGTATGACCCTGGCACCAGGCTTACATTTTTATCTGTTTTTCTTTTCCTCCAGAGAAAGTCCCCATGGAAAGCAGCTGAATTCAGCTGAGCAATTTTGCAAACTTCCTTGGCCTCCTCAGAATCCTTCCGTCTCAAACTAGACAGATTAGCACATTCTGAGAGTATTCTCTTGTAATTAAATTGTACCCAGAATCACACATGGATTTGGATTAAATTGACATGCTGGTGATGTCAAAGGGGAGGCTAGCTAGGTCTTTAGATAACTAGCAGGCATAGGGCTTTTGAAACTGTGTTGCTAAGAAGAAGGATTTGCCTGAAGTGCACAGGTATTCCACTGACATAAGTAATAGAAATAGGAAAGGTGGCAGACAGAAATGGGTGGGGTAGGGAGTTAGGAAGAGAGACAAGGGCTTTGGGAGGTGGGAGAGCTGCTGGCCAGCACTTTTATGGGTGTTAATCCTGGGATGGCTTGAAATTTTAAAAGTTAAGACCTGATATAATTTCAAAGGCAAAATATTGTTTCAGAAACTCCCAGTGGCAAACTCCGGCATTTAAGAAAGTTGAGACAAATTTTCTTTTACTTCCCACTAATTTGATTACATTTCTTAAAACCTCATCGTGCCCATTTGGTGAACTTTTTTTTTTTTTTTAGCATCTCCCAAATCTATTTTACTTTCTGAGGATGGTGGAATTGCTCACGGAATAATCCACACACCCTTGCATGAGAGAGATGGACTTTAAAAAATTTTTTTAAATATCTGTTTGTTTGTTGGTAGTTCTGTAGAAGATCAGAGAGGGCAGATACACTGCCCAGAAACAGAAAGCAAATTGAAGATTGGGCTGGTATTAGGCCTTTGGGTCCCTGCTGCCACATGGCTTCTTTTCCTTAATCTGTCACCACTTTCGAAGCGAAGGATGCTCAGGGAATCTCATAGGCTCATGGACTTCTTAAACCTAGAAGGGTTTCTGGAGATAATCTAGTCCCATACTTTAGTTTTATATATAAGGAAGGCAAAGCCCAGAGGGGTTAAAGAGATTTGACTAAATTCATGCAGCTAGTGAGTGACAAAGTTGGGTTAGGTGCCAGAGCCCTGATTCCTACTTTACCCATCTCTGTATCATGCTTACTTAAATGTGGTTCTTGCTAACAGTCATGAGATATATTCTCCAGCAGCTGGAGATGGTACTGCTTTTCTTATAAGCCATGTCAAGGCTACATCCTTAACCAACTACCGCTGATGGCGGACCATGTGCTTGGGTGAGCTGAGAGGTATTTAGAAGGCTGTGGTTCTGGCAAGCAGCAGACAGGCAACATGAGGATGTGATTTTCCAGCCACCCAGCTTCCCTCGCCCTGTTTGTATTTGTTTAGGTCTTTCATGCAGATACCTTTAGAGCTGAGTTTTGTTCTCTGCTCAGGCCCTGCTGAGTCCTTCCCATCTGTTGTAATTGCTCTAGGGTCCCTACTTTCTCTCTTCCTCTCAGATGATTCCACGAGCGCTTCTCGAGCATCTACCAGGGTCCCCAGCGCTTTGCCAGGTGGAAGGCTTGGGAGGTTGAGTTCTCAAGATGGGACTTACGTGCTGAGTCTCATTTCTGTTCTGGACTTGGTGAAAATGTTGGGAGATAGCATTTAACACCTTTCTGCCTCATTCTTCTCCCACTTGACAATGTACACCACACTTCTGGTCTTCCTCCTTCATCTTTAGAAAATGATGGAAGTGAATGCACGAATAAACATTTAGAAAGTACACTGAGTTGTTTGAAGAAAGATAGTATGTAACTAAGGTTTCTAATAATCCAGGCAGCTGTGGGTATTTTTAAATACCTTTTCTTTTCCCCTCTTACTTGAAATATTTATTAAGACACAAATATCTAAAAAAAATACAACAATAAAATCACTCAACATGGAGCTGGGGGTGATGTTATAGATCTTAATGTCCTATTGTCTGTTGTTCAGGTTACAAACATAACTCTTGGGGAAAGTTGTAATTTGCTGAGAATTACCCAGTTTATAAGTCACAGGGTGAGAATTTGAATGAATATTTTGGGGCTTTAAATTTAGTGTTGTTTTTAAACGTGGCCATAAACTCACTCTCAAGCAGCTGATAGTTAAGGAGCTACCTGGGACATACTCGTTTTTGGTGAACGTTCTTACATTATATGTGTATTTTCTTGATTTTTAACAAATTTCTTTTACTCTTTTGGTCCCTTCCCAATCTACAGTCGATGCTGCGAAAAGAAAAGTTGTGGCAACCGAAATGAGACTCCTTCAGATCCTGTCATCATCGACAGGTAGGGGGAAAAAGTGATTTAAAAAAAGTCGTGTCTGATTTCTTTCCTTTAGAATCTTAACTCTGAGTACTGATCACTGGGCTTTGACGTAAGGTTGGTTTCGTGTTATCTTCAAGGCGTGAAGCTAGTCCGACATGCGCTTTCTTGTCTTGGTTGGCCTTCCTTGGAAGAAGTCAGAACCTTCCTTTTTGAACAGATGTCTCTAAATCTGTGATGAGATTCTTTTCCAGGTGCACTGACTCCACCATAATAAGGAGGGTGTGGATGGTATAGGATGGTAAAGGATGCCGTCTCTCCTGTGTGTTGGGATAGGGTCTCAATCAGTTCCCTAGAAGAGGCAGTGTACCCCATTTAAGCGGTGACTTCTTTATCATTCTCAGTGCTTGCTGTTTGCCTTGAAGACTATCATCTTAGATTATGGTTTAGAGGATGATGACAAGCTCTGTTGCACTGAGGGAGATTCATTTCTACTGCAGAGGATTGCATTCTGGGTTCCCTGTTATGTGCCGAGTGGGAAAGATTCTTTGGGACGAGATGCTAATTCATGGAAATGTGATTTAGGCATCCTCAGCTGTATGTTTTTGTGATTGGAAACAGAACTTACAAACCAATGAAGAAATACCAAATTAACTTCCAGCAATCGTGTAATTTTTAAGAAATCCCATATTCCCACCCCTAATTTTTTCTCTTTCGTTAAAAAACGGAATAATTCCCCATTGCTTCTTTCTTTGGGTTTTTGTGTTTCTAGACAGGTCCTGAAATGGGTTGGAGAGACCACAGTCTCCAAAGTTGTTATTCCAATATTCCAACGAATTCTCAGTTGGGAGAATGGAACCTCTGGCATGCTTCCCAGAAAGCCAGCTTGGTTTCTTCGTGGAAAGTGTAGCATAGCCCTAGGAACGAGGAGGCTGGAGTTCTGATCCCATCCTAGCTTCTGACTTTGGACAAAGCACTCAACATCTCTGTGGGATGATCTCACGGAGGGGATGGCTGGAGGGCATGGCCTGCTGCTGTAGGTTTCAGAGGTTGCTGAAATGTCCGTGGCAGTCTTGCAGTATTCTCTGAGATGCTTGGAAGAGGATGACAGCCAGGTAGACAGTGTTTGCTGGATGTATATGGTGCCCTGGCCATCACAGGAGGATCAGGTGAGACAAATTTGAGGGGGCCATTTGGAATTTCTTTAGTTTTCCTGAAAGTGCATGGGTTGGAAGAACTCTTTGGGGTCAGCTGTCTTCCTCCTTTGATCGATGAAAGACTGAACTCAGAAACGATGACAAGGCTTACCCTTGTTTGCAGGACACTAGAACACAGCCATCCGTATTTCTAGGCCCATGATTCTCTCGCTGCTACAACCTTTTCTCCAGCACTCTGCATCCCAGCTTATGTGCGTTGGACGTGATCACCTCCCCACCTCCCAGGATGCCCTCGGGCTCCTCTGGGGAATATGATGCCAATGACACCAGCCTAGACACAGATCCAGGCCTTTCCAGCATGTCCATTGAGCTCACGAATCTCCATCTAGTCTTTTTTACTCACTTTAGCCCCTCTTTCAAGAAGGTGCTCTACCTCATGATGGTTACATCCTTTTCGGTAATAAATACCCTGTAAGCGAGCTTTAGAACTGTTTGCAAACCTGTACATGGTAACCCAGACCTTACATCTCATCAGCACACGTCCTCAGTGCAGTTCCTTCTCTAAGAAGCTGTGTATAACCTGAACCCACAGGGAAAGCCGAATGCGCTACGTTTTCTTCCTATATAATAGACATGTTCACGGACGTAGGCTTTTGGCATCCATGGAGAGGAAAGAATTTCATGTTATGTGCCTTCGTTAGCGCTCGAATGCTTTACATTCTTTGGAGATGGTGGAAATTGTATTTTAGCCGCGTCTTAGGGAGCTTTATGAGGCTGTGGCTTTTATTTTTACTATCCTATGCACAATAAAACAGCCCGGCGATGTCTCTGCATCACTGGAAGTACGTGTTACTTCCGAACTGTTGTGCATCTACTCATGGAAACATACGTACTGAGGGGGGCTATAATTGACCAGGATCAGATTTTTAGAGAATTCATCTTATTACAAACAGATGCATTTGTCTGGCTCCTGCATCGTGGGGCTGTTGTTTGAAGATACTCTTCCTTCCCCGGAATCTTGTCTCACTGCTCCCGAGTGTCTCCTTCCCTTCGTCTCTGGAAGCGAAAGGGGGTGAAGTCCAGTTTCCATTTGCCAGCGGTGGGATGGGCCGTTTGTGCCATCCAGGGGTTGAGCTATGCATCTGGTCCCTGGATTCAACATCTGCCGGCTTAGAGATGTTGAGATAACCCATGAGCACCAAACGGGTGCTAAGCAGTCTATTTTGGATTTCCTCTGAGTAAATATAGAACTCTCTTCCTTGCCCTTGTTCCTGTAACGCTAACTAATTATCTCCTCCCCCTTCTCGCTCAGTCGAACCAGATGCAGTTAATTTACACGGTCTCTTTGGGTTTTCTCACACAACAGGCATGTTCCACTCCGGCTCCAGGGAAGCCTGTTTATCCCCTTGGAACTGTGCGTGTTCCTCGGGGAAGGGGGAGGGGTGGCTCAAGAATGGTCCCCAAACTTTTCCCCACCAAGGACCCCTTTTGTCTTTTTGCCTTTGGTGAACCAGGTTCTGCAGGATTTTGCCTGCCAAACTGCAGTGAACAAGTCATAATTCAGCCGTGATTTCGTTTTTATTAATCAAAGACATACCGCAGAAATGGGCAGGAAAAATCTCATCCCAGAAATGCCATCGATCTCATCAATGGCCAATCAGAGCTTCTGATCGAGGCGAGACTGACAGTGTGACAACACTAACCTGATAGACCGCCAGCTCAGACACAAACAACTTGACTGTTCATCTAGCTCACGTGACCACGTCGTGGGCAGACATTCCGTTTCCAATGGGCAGTCTGAAGTGTGAAACAGAGCTTTTACTACCCCGTGGCCCCTTAATTGAAAATCATTGGATGTTACAACAGGGCACCCCCATCGGAGACTTAGCTTTCCATTTCCTAAGCCCCAGACTGGGGCTTTTTTAACCCCCTGCTAAATAACAACCTGCCTTAATCTCTCTCGAAACATAAATTTAATTTTTATTTTCAGTTGTCTTTTTAGCCTGCTTTTGCAAATTCTTGGGCAGCCACGCCCCTCTCCAAAGAGCCAGGCCAACGCGCAGCCCAGCAGGGGTGCTGCTCTATGCCGGGGCCTCCGGCAAAGCCTTCCTTCTGGGTACAGATGTGTGTGTGTGCAGAGTGGCAGTTAGGTTTATTCATTTTTAGTGTAAAAGTCCAAAGTTCCTATCTGAAAAAAAAACTCAACAAAATGGAACAAAACAAAACCAACAGTGAAAACATAATCCCTACCACGGGCTTCCGCCTGCATCTTGTCTGTGAAGACCTCTGTGCGGTAAATCAAAATAAAAAGGCGCAAACTGATTTACACTTTGTGGTTTCAGAGGGAAGCGCTAATTTAACCTTAATGTTCATGGGCTGTGCTCTCTTCAGATTCTCTTCTCTATCTGGAAGCTTCTTTTGAGTATCTACCGAGTCTCTGGGCTCAGGATAACTTGGTGGTCCGTGGGAAGAGGATTTTAGGGACAATATCATTGATACAGGAGAAGGAAAAAGAGTCTACTGTTCCTCTAGCCCCAGGAAAAGTCAGATGGGAGAGAGGACGAGTGTTTTTTCTGAGTCTTTATCGGCCGCCTCTGCCCACGTGCCTGCTAGTATGATGTTTTCTCTTAAAAAGGCACCTCCAACCTGTGTCTCATGTGCTAAATATCTCAGTCTTTTGTCTTGGGACTTTGATCTCCTACATTTATGGGCTCTGTTGTCTAGAAGGACCATTTTAGTTTTGACATTTTTGTTTGTTTCTTTCTTTTGTTTTTCAAGAAGCCAAACAAACATCAGAATGACCCTCATTCAAAATGTTTACACAAAACTATCTGGTACTTATTTGCCCATGAGGGGTTTTCCTGGTATATTCTCTTTCTCTCTTTAAAGAAAAATTTTAAGTGTTGTAAAATACATACAACATAAAATTGACTATCTTAGCCATTTTTAAGTGTACAGTTCAGTGGTATTAAGTACCTTCGGCTTGCTGTGTGACCATCATCACCATCTACTTACTGAGCTCTTTTCAGCTTCCCAAGCTGAAATTCTGACTTCCTATTTTCCCCTCCCCCCAGTGCCTGGCAACCACCAAGCTACTTTCTGTCTATGAATTTGACTCTTGTAGGTACCTCCTATAATGCTGTATTTGTCCTTTTATGACTGCCTTATTTCACAGCATCATATCCGTAAGGTTCCTTTGTGTTGTAACTTGTGTTACAATTTACTTCCTTTTAACGGCCGAATAATATTCCACTGTATGGTTACACTACAGTTTGTTTCTCTAGTCATCTGTCAACGGACACCTGGGTTGCTTCAACTTTTTGGCTGTGGTGAATAATACTGCTGTGCACATGGATGTACAGATATCTCTGTGAGTCTTTGTCATCAGTTCTTTGGGGTGCACACCCAGAAATGGAATTGCTGCATCACATGATAGTTCAAAGAACCACCGTGTGGTTTCCACAGCAGTTACAGCATTCTGCATTCCCACCAACAGGGCACAAATGTTCCATTTTCACCACATCTCCATGTTACTTGTTATTTTCTTGTATAGTTTAGTTTTGTTTTTTGATTGTTGCCATCCTAATGGATATGAGTTTTCTCCTTCTTTGTTAAGTGAAGTTCTCTCCTGCCGCCATCTTGGTCAGCATCTGCACCTGCTGCTTCCCGCTCTGGTCCAGGCTTCTTGTTTGCCCTTCGCCTACCATCTGATACATCCTCTTCCTGCTTCTCTCTGCCTCACCGACTACCTTGTTCCATCAGAGAAGTGTTGGAGCCTCCTCCCTCTAGGCCATAGTTTTTTTCCTCTCTCCTGGTATCACTTAACTCCAGAAAGTGCTATTGGTGGAGTGAGAACTTTCAGAGAAT